AAATTATGTGTCTATGTGTCTGTCTGTTTTCTGTTTTTTTTTTTTTTTTTTTTTTGGTCACGAGCATCCAAGATTTCTAAGTTTCTGCATACCTTCACCCACAGCAGGTAATGCTCCCCATCAATAGATCGGAGCCACTCTCTGGAATGCTAGTGGTGTCTGCTCATACCAGCACCACTACCAGACTCGGTGGGTTTATTTCGGGGCCGAAAAGAAAAAAGACAAAAAGAAGAGGGAAGGGAAGGTCTACCCTCGTCGTACCAAACGAACGTACGGTCATTACAGGGGCGTGGTCCCACTAGCAAAGAGAATCGGATCGAATGTCTGCGACTTTGTAGAGAGGTGCAGGAAATCGAGATTGAACTGCTTTTCTGCATCTCTGCATAAAACACATCCAGATTCAGGCATTCGATCCGATCGTCTTTGCTAGTGGGACCTCGGCCCAGGACGTACCTACCGTAATTATCATAGATGTAGACTGAAACTTCTCTGAAAGTTGCCGGAAATGTTGGACACGTATCAAGGTTCAGACTCGCAATTTTTTTTTTTTTTTTTTTTTTTTTTCAATAAAAGGAGATTTGCAATCTTACGCATATCTAAGAGTTGAAAATTGCATTTATGGTCATTTTAATATTTTATACTACTTTTTAAAACAGCACGTAACAAAGTAATAAATAAACTTTAATATCAGCTTCAAATTTTTCTTTCTATTTTTGTGTCACAGACTCCACAGTCATTCCTGAACCACTCAAAATTTTCGAAAAAAAACGAACAAAAAAACACACACACACACAAGAGTCTGACGATGGTGGGCGGACCAGGCTGTGGGTAACATGGGAGTAATTTCAGTGAATAGAGGGGCTGTCTCTTATACACATCTAGATGTGTATAAGAGACAGGTTTAATAGTGCTTCGATGCAGATTACTGCAGCGAGTTAGTCCAGACTCCATAACATTCATGAACACAGAAGAACGAGCACTCTCACGCAAACCAGAGCACTCAAACGATAGTCTAAGACAGATTCTGAACTGAAAACGAAGCTTAGCACTCTTCCATGGAAAACGACGACAAACCGCATCGCGAAGTGCTACAAGCAGGCAGGGACCTGTCTCTTATACACATCTAGATGTGTATAAGAGACAGGGGTAAAGTAACCGGACTGGTTCCCTCCAGAATAGAAGGGGCTGTGTGTGTGCGTTTTACCGGAAAAAAACGTAACACAAAGCCATGCGAACCAGTACGGGCAAAAGATATCAGGCATTAAAAAAAAAAAAAAAAAAAAAAAAAAAAAAAAAAAAAAAAAAAAAAGGATATCAGGCTCGTACTGGTTCGCGAAGCGATCGCTGTCAACGATCGTTGGGGGACGACGAAGGGTCTTTCTCGTTTTTTTTTTGTTTTTTTCCTTTCTTTCCAATAAAGAAATAATTTAGGGGTATGAAAATGAAATCTCCTGCCAGTGGATCACCTTCATGAAGTTCTTGAAGTCTTGTTTACACTTGGAATCAGTGAAGAAGGTTCCATCCTTAGATACATCGAACTTGTCCCCCTTGCTCCACCGGACGTACTGATTCTTCCCGCCGTAGGCTGCCCAATAGTTAACCAGGGTCAGGATCAAACGGATCCCCTGCGCTTTAGCTTTCTCGATAACGAAATCCAGGCCCTGCGATTTGATTTGATTTTTCAAAGAAATGGGAACCCAGGCAGTCATCAGTACCAAAAATGACATGATATTTATTTATTGTTTAATATATATGGTTAACAAGTTATCAGTTTTCAAGTTTTCAGGTATTTTATTTATTAGTTGTTTATTTATTATTTAATTATTCGTTGTTAGTGGTTCTGCTGTAGTTGTGCTTCTCTGAAGGACACAATGGGCGAAGTCCCAGAGGCCAAAACAAAAAAAACAAAAAACGAGTCGCCGATGCAGTAGGAATCAAGAGACACTGTCCGAGATCGACGGAGAGCAGCAGTCTTCAGAATCTATGGCAGGAGAACTCCAAATAATATTCATTTGAATTTTGAAATACAAGGGCCATTGCCTGGCTTCGGCTATGAACAATCTATGAACAATCTGAGAACAATCTAAGACAATCTAAGAACAATCTAAGCACAATCTGAGAACTATTATAATTCCATCTGGGACGCCGGTTCCCAGCACGTGCTGCTCCCCTCGAATAGACTGGAGCAAATGTCCCTTTGTAATTAAAAAAAAAAAAAAAAAAAAAAAAAAAAAAAAAAAAAAAACACTCCACGTATTAACTCAGCTCAGCTGGAATCTGCTCAGCTTAGCTCAACTACTGAGCTCAGTGAGCTGGAGTCAGCACAGGTTAACTCCAGTCGGGTCGACTCAGCTGCTGAGCTCAACTCAGCCGAGTGAAGTAAAGTGGTTCATGGACGCTCAGCGTAAACTTGAACTCAACTCAGCTGGACTCGACTCCACTCAACTCAACTGAGCTGAACTTAACCCACTAACCTCGACTCAGCACAACTTAACTCAAGGCAGCTCACCTCAGCTCACCTCAGCTCACCTTAGCTCACCTCAGCTCACCTCAGCTCACCTCAGCTCACCTCAGCTCACCTCAGCTCACCTCAGCTCAGCTCAGTGGAGTGGAGTGAAGTGAAGTGAAGTGAAGTGAAGTGATGTGATGTGAAGTAGTTCATGGAAACTCAGGTTAAACGCAGCTCAACTCAGCTGGATTCAAAGCCGCTCAAGCGGCTCAACTGAGGTAAACTTAACTCAGGTGGGCTCAAATTCAAATTCGTCAAGATGACCGTCTCAGTGGTCTCGCTAAACTCGTTTAGCTTCAAGTTAACAATGGATGCAGATAACAGTGGATGCAGATCATGCAGTCAAGCTGAGTCGACTCAACGACTCACCTTAAACATGGTCTCGTTGAAGACTCCAGGAGATGTCTGTAGGCCATTCTTCCCATCGTAGAAGGCCCATGTGCGGCAGACATTGAGGCCCATCTTCTTCCCGTCGGTGATCGCTCGCTCCACCTCCCCTGGGACGTCGTTCGCCCTACTCATCAACCAGTACGTGTTCCATCCATGCACAAAGAAAGGTTTGCCGTCCAGCACGAACTGCTTCCCCTTCCTTCCCACGAAAGACGACCCTATACGAGTACTAGGGGCTACGGATGTACCAGCGCGGGCAGCTGCGTCATCGGCGTCTTCATCTTCATCGGCATCTGCATCTGCATCTGCATCTTCTGAAGAGTTCTTTGCCGCAGAAGGACGAGTGCTTTCGGCAGTAGGANCGGCGTCTTCATCTTCATCGGCATCTGCATCTGCATCTGCATCTTCTGAAGAGTTCTTTGCCGCAGAAGGACGAGTGCTTTCGGCAGTAGGAGCAGCAACTTGAAGATGGACTTGCGCTTTTATGAAACCGGGGTCATGATGCGCATCTGCTCCTTGTACCATCTCCACATCGATAGCAGTCACGCTCGCAATCACACAACTTGGCTCTGCCATATTCACCGTATCCGTTTGCTCGTGATCCTAGAATACACGTCCGCTGTCGAGCTGTCTTGTCTTCGCGTCTCGCTGTTTTTTCGCGGTGATAATCAAGCACTGCTTTGGATCAGATGTGTGTTTATACATTTTACCCACAACAGCCCCAATTCCACCCAGATGAATAGATTCAGAATCAAAGCAGTCTTTGTGTGTGTGTGTGTGTGTGTGTGTGTGTGTGTGTGTGTGTGTGTGTGTGTGTGTGTGTGTGTGTGAGAGAGAGAGAGAGAGAGAGAGAGA